TGGGAGCAGCAAAGATTGCAAGATTCAGTCTTTACTGTGTGAAAAAGTTTCTGGGAACAGCAAAGGTAGCAAGATTGACTGTGCCAAAATTTTTTCTGGGAGCAGCAAAGATTGCAAGATTCAGTCTTTACTGTGTCCAAAAGCTTCTAGGAACAGTAAAGATAACAAGATTGACTGCGCCAAAAAATTTCTGGGAGCAGCAAAGGTTGCAAGATTCAGTCTTCACTTCACTGCGTGAAAAAGCTTCTGGGAACAGCAAAGGTAGCAAGATTGACTGCGCCAAAACTTCTGGGAACAACAAAGTTAGCAAAATCCAGCTTTTGCTGCTCCACAAAATTCTGAAGGCGGCAAAGATTCTAGATGGCCTTTACAGCCTTTATCATGTCAAACCCCTGGTCAAATATATACTTTCAAGATTCAAATCTTACTGCTCCGCAAAATTCTGAAGGCAGCAAAGATAGCCTTTGCAGCCTTTATCATGTCAACCCCCTGGCTAAATACTTGCACAGGAAAGCGAAAAACATAGAAAATTTTTGCTAATAAACAACAGCACGCAGGACCCTAAGCATGCGTGAGCCTCACACATGCAGCTCAGGCGCGAAAGCAGGCGTCACACAATTGGCAATTGGAAGGAAAGCCACCCGAAAACGGATGCTTCTGACGCAGCTGTGAGGCACTTACAACACAACCCAGTGGATTGGACCTTGTGACAGTTGCAACAAATTTCTCACTGCGCCACTGTGACACAACGCGCTGCATTTTTCAAGCTGCGCGCACAACCCGCGGGCGCGGAACCCGCGCGTCAACGCCACTCATAGTGTTGCTACATACTCTATACCATACGCCGTCTCGGATTATATACCGCTAGTCATAGCGCAGCACTCTTAGGCAGTTGTACTCGCAGTCATCCAGTCATCATCCCGCAACTTCCGCGCGCGGAACCCGCGCGAGTGTGGCGGTTCCGCGCGGTTTCTGTGCTAGTAGTATAGTATATAGTCGTATAGTAGCAACAGTAGTAGTAATAGTGGCTTTCATGGTAGCAGTTGGCAGTTGTTGTAGATAGCCGGTGTTGGTGGGTCTAGTAGTAGTAGTAGTAGTAGTAGTAGTAGTAGTAGTAGTAGTAGTA